TCCTGATCGTTATGAAGGTTTTCCCTCCCGCGCTAGCGGTGCATCGCCGAAGGCGCACTCATGGTCGGAAGCCTTTAGAGGTCCTTGCCGGCTTCTAACGTCTTCAGCGAGATCTCCTCCGGAGGTGTCTGTGCCGGACGCGTACCTTCCCTAAACGCTGGAAGCGCGTGAGTAGAGACACCTTAGCAAAGGAGCTCTTGCCGAAGGCGCCGAAGGAATTTGGCGCTGGTACATCCAACTTCGCGATTCTTCGTGACCTCGTGACGATCTACTCAATCCACTCTATTTAACGTACCCTTTCCTAACTACAGACACTGCTTCGGTACTTGTTTTCTAAAATTGTTTAAAGTCTGCAAAAAAACAAAAAGTGTGTTACCACAGTACCAAGTGTTGCATATTTAATAGTTTATTGAGGAATTTGAATTCTCAAACCACTGTAACTCCCAAAAATACTGCAGATTTTTAACTCAAAGAACAAACAATGTAATGTAATATACACATCATTCCTGAAATTCTCAAATTAACAAATAAGATAGATCTTTAGTATCACAAAGATCTATCGCGATTGTTAATTGTTAACTCCATGCATTAATTTCTTTATTACAACTATTGTGATTTGTTTAATTGTATGAACGTATCTAAAATATATTTTTTATGGTAAGATATGCAAGTCTATGCCCAACTTCTGTCGTGAGATTTTATTCCGAAAGTTTTTGTTTACTATTTCTCTTTCCTTCGATGAAATCTGTGTCCCAATCTCCCAGGTACAATGAAAATTTGCTCACCTTTCAAGGGAAAATTAAGAATCCAACTTAGTGTCTGGACATTATCTGTTTGATTCTCTTTATCTTCTCCATAATGATGCTGGACACAAACAAGGCCGAGGGGCCAGGAAAAGATGGGCTGTACAATGTGGTCATCATGGTTGAAAGTAAAGATATTTGAGCGAATGGACATGAATGGCTCGAGCTTCGAAACGGTAAATGAGGCAGAGCTCGCAGCCATAATGCTTCACCGGCACAGGCAGCAAGTTGAATTTCCAAAATCAAAACCAATGATCACAAATCAGATCACGGTCTCTGCTCGAGGAGCTGAACGGTCGGAAAGCGAGAGGGAGGGAGGGAGAGTCTGGAGCCTCAAATGAAGAGGCTTCCAAGCTCGAGGTGCAGCGTTGTTCTCATTTGCAGCTCTCATCGCGTGGTTGCAACCTCTCCCGATCACCAGTCTGGATCGGCTGCAATCGCGAGTGGCATGGCATGGGCGATTCTCAGTCCGTGGATGGAGCTCTGGTCTCACCTGAAGGTCGATCGGCCCGAGCGAAGTCTCCATACCGACGACGACGAGGACCTCGTTTGTCACCAGATCGATGGAAATCGACCTGGATCCTGCCTTGTGGAGCAATCTACCCGAGGACATAATCGAGATCATCGTCCGATTTCATCTTCGGACGCTTCCGACTCCCTGCCTCGCGCAGTTTCGTCTCCTGAGCAGATCCTAGAACTAGGCGATCCTGTCGTCCCAGTTCCCTCGAGAAAAGTTCCCTCGAGTTCTCGATCCAGCTGCCTCGAGAAACTCGGGAACCACCTCATGCCCCCAAAAGTGTCTTCTGTACATGTGATAAAGGCTTGATCATGACTCTGGACACCCAAAATCCAAAATCCCAAATCCCAAAATGACTTTGGACACCCAAAAATCGCTGGGATTTTTCCAAAATCCTCAATCCCTCAATCGGCATCGGGATCGAGAGACGCACTCGCCACTGGACTCACTGCAGTTCGTGGCGACGGATGGAGGGCGTCTGTGCCTGTCGACGGGCACCAATGGCCACATGATCGTCTGTTATGTGGTTAAGCATTTGTGGCTGCCTCCATCGTTCGGACAGAAGGAACATATTCCGGAGAATGGATCGAGAACTGGGAGGAGAAAAGATGGAAGATTTCCTGGTTGGGGTGGAGGCGTCCAGAGAGACGGGACAGTACAAAATTGTGGTAGCAGGTCTGCGCGAGAACGGGAAGAGGAAGTAGGCGATTTACAGCTCCACCGCAAAGCCATGGAAGATGATCGCTGCCTCGTTTATAGATCCCTCGCTCCTGGGTCCTGGTGATCAGTTCTACGTCCAACCCGTGAAACGACGACCGGGTCCCTCGTTGACTTGCGATGGATGTATTAATTTCCTGCTGAAGTACGAGCAAGTGCACACGGTGGGGATCGTTTGGCGGCTGCTGGATTTCGACACGGGGAACGATCTTCCCACTTCCCATGTGCAGTGGACGTGGTCCAGAGAAAGAACACAACACAAACTTTATAGTCGCAAATAAAAGCACAGAATTGTGGAAAATCAAACGAATGGTAAAAAAACCGCTAGCGTACCATAGAGTAGAAATATTAGTACAAGGTACAATATGAGTTCCACATGAATTCAATGTGTAATCGAACCTTGGCGTCAACATCAACAGTACTTATATAGGAAAAATAAGTCATAGCAGCCTCGAAGATGCTACCTTCGACCGTTCTAACTTTACAAATAGCACCTCTAAAACTACACAAGTGACTACTCTAAAACTGAACGTTCACTCTTACACATGGCACTTCTAAAGTTTTACACATCGCATCTCCGAACCTACCAGTTTGTATTCACGACTTAAAGATGGACCAGGAGAGACTAATGGAGTATAACTTGAAGGGGGGCTCCAAACTACCAGTTTGTATTCACAACTTAAAGATGGACCAGGAGAGACTACTGGAGTAGAATTTGAAGGGGGGGATCCAACCTGGGCTAGAAGATGATGGGGGAGACCCTGATAGTGATGATGAAGGTGAATTTGGACCTGGAGGAAGCGGAGGAGTGGAAGCTAATGGGCTTGGAGTAGAAGCTGGAGATAATGGAGATGGTGGAGTTGGGTAAGAAGGACCGGGAGCTGGGGAAGTGGAAGAAGAAGGCGATAAGAGTGAGAAGGATCACACGTTGGGCTAGACGATGGAGCTAGTGGGGACGGTGGAGTTGAAGAAGAAGGTCCAGGAGCTAAAGTGGTTGAAGAAGAAGGCGATGGAGACTGAGAAGTATCAGACGTTGGATTAGACGATGGAGCTAATGGAGATGGAGTACTTGTAGAAAGAGGAGCAGGGCCGGATGCTGGTGAAGTGGAAGAGGAAGGCGATGGAGGCGGAGATGGACCAGACTTCGGAGTTGAAGCTGGCGCTAATGGAAAGGGAGTAGTTTTGGATAGAGGAGACGGACTAGGAGCTGGGGAAATGGAAGAAGGTGCCAGAGACTGGGATGGACCAGACGCTGGAGTCCAAAGTGGCTCGAGTTGAGATGTTGGGGGAGGAGGAGCAGTTGCTGAGACGACGAAGAAGAAGGAGACTGAGATGGACCAGAGGCTGGTCCAGATGGTGAAGAAGAAGAAGAAGGCGATGGAGACTGAGAAGAGTTAGGAGGTCCTGATGGGCCTGAAGCAGGGTGTTTCACTGGAGAAGAACCTGGTGGTGAAAGAGAACTGGGACTGGGTGCTAAAGCATTCGAGTGAGATGGTGATGGAGCTGAGGAGTTTCCATTGGGAGGAGAAATTGCAGGTCCTGATGGACCTGGTGAGTTCGCATTCGGCGGGGAGGGAACCGGGCTATGTACTGGTGGGGGTGGTTCTGCGTCCGACGGAGATGGGGGCTGTTGCATTTGGTGAACTTGACGAAGGAGACTGGGCAATGGGAGCAGGTGGGGATAGAGGAGGAGTCGGGGACGTGGGAGGCGATGGAGATGTCGATAGAGGAGGAGACAAGGGGCTTGGACCTGGGGGAGAATGAGGTGACGGACTTGGAGGATAAGGCGAGGACGGTGGTGGAGGAGGTGGTAAGATGATCTCAGGTGGTGGTGACGGGAGCAATGGAAGGCCCCATGATTGAAACCCCCAATTCCGAGTATTAGGGGACGAAAAGCAATCATCTTCACCTGTGGAGGCAGAGAATCCCATATACATATACTCGGTGAGCTTTAGGGTTTCGACAGAGCTATCTCGTATCTGTCCTTCTAATCTTCTGTGATCTCTGCGCATCCCCAGACCGGCTCAGGCTCAGCTTCTATGTACCTCCAGACTTGGAAGGAATTGAGTCGAAAAAGTTTTTGACTCAGAGCCCTATTTAATTGCACGACTTAATAATCAATCCAATGCTTAATTTGGTCTGTTGTTAGCACATACGCAACCACCACCAACACCCGAGGAATGTGGCAGGTCCAATGTAACCACCGAGGGTGGATTTTCTCAGTGTGATGAAGAATCAACCGATCGTGATTTTATACAGACATGTCGGGTTGGAATTACTGTGAGCCAGGTAGTCGAGCCCAGAGTAGATGCATCCATCTTCTTCTTCTACACTCCAGGATCTTGTCATAAATATAAGTGTACTAGGCGGTGAGTCAGCACCATCTCTCGAACTCTCAATCTATATCCAGATTCACGTGCAACCGGGAGCCATGCAAATGAACCGAAGACAACGAAGCTCTCTGTTGTTCTATGTGGAGAAAGATTCAATCAATACAAAAAACTGATGTGCGTTTTCTTGTGCGCTTGCAAGCTTCTGCATTCCCAGTTCTCGATCATTCATATCATCGATTCATTCAAGGGAGAAAAAATCTGTGTGCGAATCTGAATCTGTCCGAACCGAGATTTCGATCTCTCGCTTTCGATTGGCATGCACGACTACAACCGAACCTGCTCAATAACTGCGGGCCTTCCTTCCGTGGAGCACTCGAAACCAATGGAACTCGCATCACTCACTAGTTCATGACGGCGATCCAAAACGAAGCTGCTCCAGATCGCAGCTCAGAATTCCGGCGGAAAAAATGGTGAACCCCATGAGTGAGTGATTTCCAACCCTTTACCTTCCTCGAGCTTGAGTCGAAATACGTTCTTCATGTAAATCTGGAACTAGTAGTGGGCAACAGAGCTCACAAAAGCTTTGGATTGCGAAGGCTGCAGACGTAATATCTACAAATGTACATTGACAGAGTTTTGGCACGGCGTTTTCTTACAAGCAGAGAATCATGGCAAAATCTAAAACCCTCCTAAGCTAGCGACGGGAGATATCTACAACACTCTATAAACGATATAAATAAAGGATCGATAACACTTGTAGAAGGAGCACGCGCGTCATCACGCTCTCCAGGCCGGCTCTGAACCTGGTGCCTGCGGAGGGAGACCAGGAAGCGGACGACGTCCCAGTCGTGGTAACTACGTCATGCAGTTGCGCTGAACGAACCCGATCTGGCTGTTGGCGCGATCGTAGACCATGTAGACATTGCGCTGCTGGTAGTTGCCGATGATGGACCCCGCGCCGAGCGTATTGTTGCCCATGGCCAGGCAGAAGGTCGCGTCGTCCAAGGTCAGGAACGTGTTGTCGTAGGTCAGGTCGTAGTTGGCGCCGGTAAGGTTGAACGAGACGGTCGGGACGCTCCTGGGGATGTCGGCGTCCGTCAGGCCCGACGCGTTCCAGCAGTGAAATCCGCTTATCCCACCGGGGATCTGCGGGAAGGGTACCAGCGCGTCCAGCGCCTGGGGCTCCAACTGCGTGATCGTCGTGCCGGAGTCGAAGGTCGTGCCGTTGGCGAAGACGGAGCTGGGGATGCCCAGCGGCTGGCCCGCGACGCTAATGGCCTGGACCCCGACGTTGTAAACCGACGGGTCGTCGAGGATCGGGGTGTACTGGATGCCCGTGACGTTGGACAGCGCGGCGCTCCCGAAGAGGAGCGGGCTCGTCTGCGTCGCGACGCCCTTGGCGGGGACCAGGCAGTAGGAGAAGATGTTGCCGAAGCTGGCGCCGAGCTGCGACGGGAAGGAGATGTCGCCCTGGCCGAGCCCGACGAGCCCGTCGACATTCCCCGAAAGGAGGCCCGAGTCGCTGAAGGTGCTCTGCGAGCACCCGAAGGCGAAGTTCGGCACGTCCGCGACGGCGCCGTCGGTGGACGTCAGGTGGATGGTGTCGACGGCGATGTCGCCCGTCGTGTTGGAGCCGTCGCCGTAAGCGTAGAAGAAGTTGCAGCTCGCGTTCGAGCTCGACTGCACCGGGCAGTTGGAGTGCCAGTCCGCCGGGTACTGCGACGTGAACCTTTGGCATGCGCTGTCGGCGCAGGTCAGGTTGGCGTGCGACGAGGACCGCGACGGGTCGTACAGCGGGTCCGCCTGCGGGAAGCAGTGCGCGCACGGCTGGCACTGCAGCCACGTCAGGTCGCTTCCCGTATCCGCGATCGCGACGAAGTTCTGCGCCGGCGTGCCCAGCGAGATCGTCATGACGTACTCGGCTTCGTTCACGTTCGTCGAAAGGTTGCTCACGTACGTCGGCAGCCCCCCGCCGCCGCCCGCCAGCCACCGCTCATGACGCGACCGCAGCACCTCCGACCGCCTCCTGCTCGACAGGAAGTCGCGCTCCGCTCTCTCCTTGAACGACAGGCTGCCCGGCGCTGCCCGCAGCGGGTGGTCCTTGTGCACCAGCTCGGCCTGGATGCTGCGCCACGGACCGCCGGACATCTCGGGTGTCTCCGATTGCCCCGGGCTTCCAGAGGGCCGATCGGTCGGGTCTGAGTTTGCATCTGGATTCAATTCCTGCGGAGAACACGTCGTCGTCGAGATTGTCGCAATCAGCAGTGACACGAGACAGAGGACGAGTGACGAGGCCATCGCTGTCGACGGTATGACCTCGGTCGATTCGGATCTTTTTAGATTTCGGTTGAATCTCTCGTTGAGGTGGGCTGGTTTGAGCTGAGCTGATCGGAGCGAGAGATTGCGAGGTTTTCTAAATTGTAGCTGACTGCGATTTCATGGCTGACATCTCGGAGCGACACAACGATACGATAGATGAGATAGAGAGTTCCTGTCGTTACATCCGGCTGAAATCTTCCATCACTGAGCCTGAAATTTCAGCCTCCTTCAGATATTCAAGACGAATCACACAACCTCAAAACACGAAATAATTTTCACAACGCAATTTCTCACACTATCAGTATAGAAAACGAATCCAGCGATCTGATTCACAATTATGTAAGGACCTAGTCGCTCAGGACCTAGCTAATAAACCTAAAAAGCACCTAGAGTTCGAGATCCACTACTCCGAGCTCACTACTTCCTGACTCCTCGGTCCTCTCGACGGTGAGCGACCCGAAATTCATACAAATGTGCGAACCTTATGAACCTACTCGCTCCTGCTTATTGAACTGGTATGGAGCCTTCCGTCGATAGAACCTAACTTGGCTCGAGCTCATGAATGTAACGGTGGTTTGAGCTGCAAGGTAGCTAGATATGCATTCGGAACTTTCGGCTCAGCACAGAGGAGGAGGAAGAGGAAAGGGGAAGGGCAACGAGGTCGAAGCGGTGCATCATCCGAGTCGACCTGCTTCGGTTTCACCTTCCTGAGTAAAGCTCCCCACGAGGTCATATTCTTCTCGAGGCTCTTCCGCCCGTGACCTGTTCCAACCCCCTCCTCGAGCTCCAGGCTGCTGCCACCAGGTGGTTTGTGATCAGGAAATTGATCCTCCAGGGACTTGTACAAGCTTTGCTTTACTTCTTTGTCTTGTTTGACGAGACTGATCTGTTTCCGGCTTCAGTTGGTAACTGACGTGATTGACAAATATCTGAAGGATCGAAGGTGAATGCTTCACTATCACAATCCGAACATTCAATAAGATTTATATTTCTCCTGGTCTGGGCTACCTCCGCTTATGGTGGTGAACCGAGGATGAATATCATGCATGGATGCCCGAGATCACACAAATCCATATATTACGTTGATTCCAGTGATTTGACTGTTCGGGTTGAGAGAGTCAACTGTCCACTGACACGATACAGAATCAGGACCTACTTTGACTGACGACCAGAGGAGCAAGCGTCAATTGAAACTGTCAATTGAATTTGAAAATGTGGAAAAGTTGAGGCTTTCGTGATGAAGTCTCAGAAAGGAGCTGCCCTGGATGTGTGTATCATGATCGATCATGATTTCGAAAAACCTCTGCTTGCGATCTCTTGCGACGTATGTGAGACACCATAGCACGTGCAATTGGTTATTTGTAGAATACACCGAATAGAAAATTCCAATACTTGCTAGTTATATCACATTGTTCTGTTTGCGAGTCTGCAGGATCTGAGACTGACTCAATGTCAAAGTGAATCTCAAAGATGGGCCCGAATATTGTGTGATCTCTAAACACCCGGACGTCTGAATAGACCATAGAAACCTCATTATGCTAACTTCTGCAGGTTTCGGGTTGGGCACTGCCACATCGAGAAGATCAGAGTTAAACCTCCCAATAGTGACACATAACCTTTCTAGGGTTTTATGTCACTATTCGGAGGTGTCACTCACAAGAGTATATCTAATTTTTTCCCGCGTTATTTGCGTTCGGTGGGCGTTTCTTTCTTTCTCTTGCAATCTGTCATAGTGCCTCCGGAGGCGTTTTTTTCTCTCTCGCTACAATCTGTCACAGTTGTTATGCATTAGGTAGTCGTTTCTCTCTCAACGCAATCTGTATTTGTTTTGAGGGAGTTTTTTTTTCTCTCCTAATATACACCCGTTTTTATTCACACATGTCTAAACGCAAGCATTGTTTGGACGTGAAGACGAAGTTGGAAATTTTGGATTTTCTGAATCAGCCCGGAGCCACCCATGAAAATTCGAAAATTGAAATCTTTAGACTTGTTTTCCTCCTCATGGATTTGGCTCCATCCTCACCAACTTGAAAAGGCGTGAAAATATCCCACTGGCAGAATCGACCTGTTCTTCGGATCAAATTACTTTATTCTACTCCATTTTAGGGAGCGTCTAGTTATTTCTGAGTTTGTGCTAATTATACTTCACCTTACATTAATGTGCACTACTTCTCCCCTTTTCTCTTGTGCGTAAACATAGGGATAATTAGCCCAAACTGAGGAATAACTAACCACTCTCCCATCTTATTGCGCATTAGCACTTTCACTTTGACTAAATCGAACTCTCAGGATCTGCCAAAACCGGACTCAAAAGGCTCTGTCGTGGAGCACTCACGACTTTTTGCTATAAACCAGGTCACGACGGAACTCGTCTAAATCTCCTACCGTAAGTCTCTACTCCCCTCGATGCCCTCCTCAAATGCTTTGCAACTATGGGCGTGCGCAGTAGTTTCATGTGGCCCGCGGTCTTTATATTTAGATTGGCCAGATTAATTCTGGCAAGGTTGGCGTATAAAAATTGAACAACAGATTTTACCAGATTTTATAGCTCGTACATAATCTTTCTCAAGTGGGGATTTAAATCTTTATTCTCATGAATCATGGAATTTTCCATAGAATATGCTACTCTGGTATCCTGTATTTGAATTAAAGGTCCCAAATGTATAACTAATTTCCACTGATACCATATCAAGCAACATACAAGGAGGATAATACATGTAAACTAGGCTAATAACTAGTAATATTACAATGATATATCAACTCTTCTCGCCGGGGTATACTTGTAAGTCCTGCTCTTTATTTTCGAACTAGTGTCCTGGAACGACTTGGCGTCGATACCATCTAGATTTTCGGGGGTCGTCCCGGGTCACAATAAGGTTATAATTTATTATTCTATTTTCACTCATCATTATCGTTGAATCAATATGATTCTCGTCCTTGAATTATCCTCTTGAATAAACATGTGGAAATGAACTGATTTGAGAAGTTCTCTCCGCTCTAGCATGTCTTCTTGCTTAGTTGGCTCATGATGGGCAGCGTGGTAGAGCCTTCTGCATCATCTTTAGTGGCAAATCTTCACAGTTTCTGCAAATCCATGGGATACCCTGGGCTTCATTTTCTGAACAATTTATTCACTGAAAATCACATGTTTTTCTTTTGGTGTAAGGCTTTTCGGCGTGTTTGAAGATTTAGAAGAAGTTTAGCTACTAGCTTAAGTGAGGCTTTCAATATTCTGTTTTCAAAGTCATCTTGATTTGGCACTCCAAATCACTCTAAATAACAGCAATTGAATGATGATTGACAAATATATCTTATATTACTCTTCTTATCTTCTAAAGCTTAAATTGACTTTTATAAGACATCTTAACATCATATGTACGAAAAGTCAACGGAGGTTGATGTAATCTGTCATGTCTCTCAACATCTTTGTACAAACCGATCTTTGTGACTTTTCTGATTTGAATATGGCGGTTGTTGATAATTTTACCTCTTTTTTCAATTTTTAAATCTATCTCTATCAGTTTCTTTCCTATGAAAATTTATTCTTCCATTTTTCACAAATATTACTGATAGGAAATTTCTATTACTTTCATTTTAAAATTTTCACCTTTCATTTTTCATAAAAGAGAAGAGATTGTCTACATCAAGTTTAAATTGCATGTAATATCCTCCTTGGTGATGTCACAATCTATTACCACCTTATTTTTTGAAGAAAAGGTAGAGGTGGATGTGTCTAGATTCTTATTTATGTATTAAATTACATAAATAAGAATCTAGACACATCCACCTCTACCTTTTCAACTTAGAATTATTTGAACATGATTGAATGTCCAGTTTTTCAATTTTCCATGTATCAGATAAAATTATCTGAGTTCACATCCGAAGTAATATAACTTTTTCAAATCATGATATCAAACCTTTACAAAATAGTTTTTGTGTTGACTATCCTTCTTTCCAACTTTTTGTAAAGATAAATCGATCTTACAAGACATTATCTTTATAAAGTATAAATCACATGTGACGTATAAAGATTGAGTATTCTGGGTGCAACCATGGTCTCCCTCCTACTTGCCTTCTTGAAAGGTAACTTATTGAACATAACATTAAAAATGCATATCATGCATGTTCAACTTGAGAGGACATAAAAAAAGTCCCAAGTTTGAAGTTTGTAAATTTTTTACGCTTGAGTACCATCAAACCCAGCAAAAACTGGCATCTAAATAAGAGTATTTAAAATAGGGAAAAAATGTAATGTGATTCACTCTATCCATTAGTTTCATCTCAAGGACCTCGTTAAATGTACATATTTGTATATGAATGTGATAGAAATTCCATCAGAGAATAATTTATGAGCTTAATCAATTTCTGGATGTCATATACAGTAGCAATCAACTAAATGTGATTTGTGTTACACAAAGGAGTAAATATTCATGCCAAAAGAACGGGTATTTCGAAATTTACAAGATATTTACTTTACCCCGGCACCAAAACCACTACATACTTTGGTGTGACCACCATTAAAAACTTCAACATGTAATATCCATGTAAGCATACACCAAATCCTTGACACCGTGAAATACTTTTACATTCTAGTGTATGATAAGTATCGGCATAAAAATATAACTTCGAAAATCTTGTACAATGTTCTCTGGTCGAGGTCCTGAATAACAATGAGTATGCGTCAGAACAGTCTGATATAGAAATAAACTGCAGCTTTTGCTGTTTGCACATGGTGCAACAAAAACTGGTAGGTGGGTTGATTATGGGTCCTTGAACTTTCAGTTTCAAGACAAACATTTGATGACCCATAACTTGTCATAAATTAGTCCACACCTGGGATGCTTGCTCGGTGAGGTTATAACCGATGGATGATCATGAGCAAATCCTGACTTTGTGGGCTTTGTGTGACTAAGCCAACGAGGAATGAAAACATGCAGTTAGTTTCTGATCTATTAGTTTCTGGTAACTCTCGTGGATTCTACAAGTCCTACTTGTCTACAAACCTCTAGACACGTAAATCTTGTAGTGTATACATGTGAGTAATCGGCAAAGATCTCAAGGACTGTCCATTCTCGAGCAATTCGGTTCTTCCGACCGAAAAAGACCTCTATCTCATGTCACTCGGGCACCCGACAGAAGATTGCATTTTCACCCTCTTGTAAATTAGAGATGATGGATCCTTGTACAAATCACCATTGTCCCATACTTCTTGTCGCTTTGTAGATCGGTGTCAGAAAATGGATTACTCGGTTACAGTCGTCATATGTCAAGCAAGTCTGGGAGTTTTAATTCAGATTGTACTAATAGCTTTACAGCATAAAGAGTACGGCTATCACGTAGAGAAACAGTCCATAAATTTCCTCACATGATACACAGAGAATGCAGACTGACTCCATTCGCAAGCGGAATTGTTCGAGTGAAAGAACGAAGCAGAATATAAGAGTGATGGGTTTTCGAAGCTTCATATTTGGGCAGGTGCTTGTT